TTTATGAGAACCCTTGGCCACGCTGAGAGAGACCTAAAGTGAAGATAGAGGGTGATGTTTTAAGAGAGGGTTTCTGAGGATCAAATTCAGGGCCTTGTATCTGCCAGGCAAGTGTTCTGCCACTGAGCCATACTCCAGCCCCAAGGCACTGTTTCTGAGAGCAAGGGACATCCAAGACCACCAGCAAACTGCAGAAGTGAAGGAATAGCCTCCTGTCTTGAAACTCAGAGTGGAACTCCAACAGCACTTTGACCTCAGAACTCCACCCTCCAGAGATGAGAGGCAGCAGAGTGTTCAAGGCTGGGATTTACAAAATTCTTATGTCTGGAAGCTAGAAGAGACCTGGGAGGCAAAAAACAGGCATGACCTTCTGGATGTGACGCTGAGGAGACGTTAATGGCGGTCTCAGGGATGGTATTCCCAATATGTAGGAAGCCTTTTGCTCCCAGGCACACACAGGTGGTATAATGAGCATACAGGTCAGGTATGAGAGAGAAGCATGGTTTTCTTTACATTTGAAAGATACCTGTTTTGGGTTTTCTGTTCATCCAGACTTTGGGTTGTTTCTCAGATTTTAGGCAGGTAGGATCATGTCAAATGTGTATCTTAAGCTGTGGTGTTCCTTGTGGATGTGTGTTTGTATGGGTGCACCTGTTTGTATAGGTGCATGTATGTATGTGGACATGTACACATGGATGCATCCATGTGAAGAGGTCAGAGTTCAACTGTGAATGTCGTTACCCACCTGCTGTTCACCTTGTTATTATTTATTTTGTTATCAGTCCGAGTGTTTCGCCTGGATATATGGGCAGCATGTCCATGCCTTGTGGGTGCAGAGGCCAGAAGAGGGTATTGGATCTCCTGGAGCTTGAGTTTCAGGAGATTATGAGTCACTTTGTGGGTGCTGGGAACAAAACTTGGATCCTTTGCAAGAAAAGCAGGCAATCTTAACCACTGAGCCATTGCTCTAGCCCCAACTTTATAATTTTAAAAAGTTATTATTATTATTGTTATTGTTATTATTAGTAGTAGCATGCATGTGTATGTATGCGGCAGAATGTGTATGGCGGTCAGAGGACAGCTTCTTGAAGTCTGTTCTCTCCTTCCACCTTCCTGCAGGTTCCAAAATTGAATTCAGGTCATCAGGCTTGTATGGCAAGCTTCCCCAGGTGCTGAGCCATCGTTCCAGCCCATATCCTGTTTTTTTGAAACAGAGTCCCTCACTGTGACTTAGATCTCACTGAGTAGGCCAGGCTGGTTGACCAATGAGTCCCAGAGATCTTTCTGTCTCTACTTCCCCAGCGCAGGGATCCATGCCCAGCTTTTTTTTTTTTTTTTTTTTTTTTTTTTGGTGTGTGTGTGTGTGTGTGTTTTGTTTTTCAAGACAGGGTTTCTCTGTGTGGCTTTGGAGCCTATCCTGGCACTTGCTCTGGAGACCAGGCTGGCCTTGAACTCATAGAGATCCACCTGCCTCTGCCTCCCGAGTGCTGGGGTTAAAGGCATGTGCCACCAACCATGCCCAAGTTTTTATTCGGGTGTTGAGGATCACATTCAGGCCCTCTTTCTTGTGCAGCAAGTATTTTACCAAGCCATCATTTCCATAGCCCTTACAGTGTGTTCTTTAGGGGTACTCCGAGTTTGCCTGGGAGATTCAGAAGAGATTGCTCTTCCAGCTCTTGCAGTAACATATCCTTTACTAGTTGTCTTAAAAACACACAGCTTCTTTCTCTGTCGTTTTCACCATCTAGGATGGAGATGGCTTCAAGAATCATTTCTCTTGCAGGGAGATGTGGGCAGGTGGAACTGATGCTCTGTTCCAAGCACACTCTGGGAGTGAGGGGGTTTCCATACTTGCTGTTCCTCTAGCCATACTGATTATGCCCTTCCTCATGGTGTTTGCATTTGTAAGCAACAGTAGAACCTGGATGCTTTTAGGCAAAAGGGACTGGGTTTTAAATAGTTTCATCTTTTCTTCTGCTACTTTCTGTATCACTTTTTGTGAAACTTATGGCTATCCTCAAACTATTTTATCTTTGTTAATCTCTGTCCCCAAATATAAGTAAAGCCCTCGAGAGTGGCATGTGTCCCTCCAGTGCCATCCTACTGGCACAATGGTTGCTCCATAAATGGTTGAATGACTAGCACTCATCAATGTGTGTGCATCCCAGGGCTCTGCTATCTTTTTTTCTGTGAAGAACCATGTTGGGGATACAGCGTATAAAGTCTGAATCTCAAGGTCAGCAGCTGTGTGTTCCTGCATTGGGAACATTGGACATCATTCTAAGTTGTTCTCCATGTTAATTTATGAGCCCCTGGTGAACCTGGGGCTCACAGATTCAGACAGGCCACAGATTCAGACGGGCTGCCTGGCCAGTGAATTCAAGGAAACCCTTGTCTCTGCCTTCCCAACGCTGGGCTTATAGACACCCCTCACATTGTGTTTAGCTTTTCATGTGGGTTCAGGATATCTGAATCACCTCTACCAAGGTCAATTTTTGAATACAGCTGTGTGTAAATACCTAGGTGACCCAAGGAAAGGACAGAGCACCTTCATTGCTCCAGCACACAGGGAGGCTGGGCCAAGTGCCTGCCTCTGAGGCTCCCATCTACCATCTGTCAGCAGGCTTTTAGGAGAGAATTACACGTGTGATTTATTTTCAAATCCTTTCAGGTCCTGAAGGAGAGACACTCAGCACATGGTACACTTTGTCATCATGTGACAGCATCCCCTCAATGCCGGGAGCAGCATTACAGGATGTCAGGGTGTAATTGGATTGCACTGGATCCTTAATCTACATTTTCATTTACCAAAAGCCATAGCATTGGGAGAGCCATTTGCCACTGATGCTGGGGCCCTGAGACTTGGGGGGGGGTGGAGGGAGGAGGGGGGGTCAGTGTGTAGAAAGACAAAGGCCAGCCATAAAGCCACAGAGTGCATGTTTTATATTTACAGTCAGTAAGTTTATAAATATATATTACATTCTTACAATCTACAATACATTCTACACGTGGAGGGATTTGAGAACAGGCATCTGCTGCAGTATTCAGGGAAATGTCACTCGGGTAAGAATGAGAAGAAATCAGAAAGGAGGCAATGAAAGCAATGGATTATGGTGGTGAGGGGGTAAGAGTTTCATCACCCACCCAAACAAGGGGAATCCACTGGGAGACAGGGGCTGGGTGGCTTGCTGGCTGTCAGAACAAAAGGATTAGCACCACAATCAGAGGGGAGAGGACCTCAGGGGGAGGGGAGGTGGGACTCACAGTCCTCTAGGGAGAATCTCTTTATATGGTGGAGATGAGAATAATAAGAGGAGGAAGGAGAGGGTGGTAAGGAAACAGACAAGATGGTAAAGACAGAAGGTAAAGGGAAAGGAAATTGAGGAAATAGGTTCAGGGCAGACAGAAAGACCCGGAAAGAGGAGAAAGAAGTTGGAGAGAGGTCCGAAGAGCACAAGAAGGAAAATGATGATGGTAGAAATACACAGAGCGACCAGCCTCCTTCACCCTTCAAGGTCATGGCTACTTTTCAGCCCAACATCCTCACTTCACAGTGAGACCGGGATTGGTGTAGGGATCCCCTGATCATGTCTCCCTCTCCATCTTCAGGCTCAGCATCTGAAGGACCTTAGGGACATTGACCAATCATTTTGATTTTCAGGGCTGACTTTGGGTCCAAGTGCTTGCAATAGTATGTATCTACATACATGTTTCCACAGACACACGCATACCCTCAACATATACACACATACCTCCTTTATGCACGCACATGTACACAAACTCTCTCACACACACCTACACACCTACACATATCCTTCATCTCTCTCATGTTGTCCAAGCATGCATAAGCCTACCTTTCTTACACTCACCTCTTACAGTCCAGAATGGCCACCTACTCTCAACAGATGGATTTGTCTTAATACCCTGGTGAATTCTTGGACAGGAGACCCAACATGAGTGGCTGCAGACCCACTCCCAAAACAGGCCCCCTAATGTAAAGCAGGGAGAGGGTGGGGAATTCACCCCGAGTCCTGCTTACACTCTGGAAACCAGAATCTTCAGAAGGTCTCCGGGACCTTCTCTATGGAATGTCACCTGAGGTTGACACAAAGCCCAGGAGAAAGAGAGGCATGGAGAAAATTCTGGAACATTTATCCTCCCTTCCTCACTCAAAATAACCAACAGCTGCAGTAAGGGCGTCAGCGGAGTGGAGAGATCAAGTTCAAATGTGGTGAACTTGCTGAAGGAGGCACGTGGTTTGTGCCCAGTGTCCTACAGGCAGGAGGCTTCTCTGAGTTGTTCTAATGGTGTGTGTGTGTGTGTGTGTGTGTGTGTGTGTGTGTGTGTGTGTGTATAATGCATGTGGAAAGTGTGTGTGTGTGTGTGTGTGTGCTCTCGCGTGTATGTTTCTTGGCATGTAGTTAAAAAGATATTTGTGGGCCACTCTTCTACCCATTTCCTTTTTATCCTGCCTTGGCCTGTCAATAATCCCTGGCCAACTTTGACCCCATCTTTGGGAGCTACAATTCACTACCCTGCTTCTTGCAGCCAGCTTCAGCGCCAGCCCCGCTGCTCCACTCAGATGGCATACTTCCACCCACTGATCCATGCATGTTCAACCAGAGCCTAATTTTATTTTCATGGTCTGAAATATTGACTCTCAAAGCAGCGCGGATCTCACTCAAAACCAAATTGCTTTAGATTAAAGGGTGATAGTTCTTCCCTGTAGACCCTCAAACACACCTCTTTGTTCCAGCTTTGGAAACATGTTGCCATGCACAATAAACCTCTTAAGTCGAACCAAAACATTGTGCATAATAGCATATGCATGGGTACCGACTCTGGGCCTCCCCAGCTAAGAGGGGATCATTTCCCAAGGCTCCATGGACAGTGTCACCCTTATGGTGTCCTCTTGTCTCATTTCTCCCTTGCCTGCATGTCTCCTCCCCATACACGGGTGGGTTAAAGGCTGAAAGGTAGTAACAACATTGGTGTCTGTGTTACACGTGCTCATGTAGCCTCTCCATGCAACTGTGAGGTTCTGGACACTCTCCAGGGTCCAGGGCCTGGCAGACCCACTTAATGTCATCCTCATTACTCAACACCATGGTGTTCCCAGCAGAACACCCGTCATCTGAGGAGATGGCAGAGAAGGTGGAGAATGTCACTCTTTTCCTTTTGGAGGTAGGGGATGTGGGGGGTTCACTCTTCTGTTCTTTCTCATCTGTGAGCATGGCTCCCGTGGACCTGAATAGCTGTCCATTGATGCTGCTCTGGGAGTTTGAGCTGAGAAGAAGTTTGCTCTCCTCGAAGTCCAGACCCCTGTCAATGGCAGTGATCTGCTCCTCTTGGGAGGAGGTGAAGTTCATGTGGTTCCCCAACAGCTCTGTCCGGTTGCTCAGCCCAACCCAGTCATGAGAGTGACTCAGACCTTCTTGCTCCTCAAAGGGAACCTGTTTGTGCCTGTATTTCAGGGCAAAGGTCACACAATTAATTAAGAACACCAAGATAGCTAGGCAGAAGACACCCAGCAAAGCGTACATCCCGATTTCCAGGTCACTTAAGCCCTTGGCTGCCTGATCGGGGTCATGCTCCTCTGTGCCTGTGTTGCTCCTGGGGAGGTCCACCTGGTCTGGGAAGCTGGTGAGGTCTGTGGCCATGGTCTGTGAGAAGATGATGTCATCTAACAGGCTTTCCTGGCCTTCCTTCTTCTGGAAAGTTGGCCTCTTGGTTGTACTGCCCCATCCCTCCATGAGCCCCATGGATGAGCTGCTGTAGTATGGCCCTTCGGGGCTCCCCCATTCCTGCAAAGGTTTTTTGGATTTCCTATCACTGATATTTTCCAAGTGAAGCCCGGCCCCAAGGTGTCCACTCTCACTGCTGTTGGGGTTCCCATCATTTTGTCCAAATTTAACCTTGATGTTGGCGGTCCCCACGGCCAGCACGCTCTTCCGCTTAGATTTCTGGCAAGATTCACTGATCAGCATCTCCACCTTCACCAGGGGCCCCTGTCCTTCATTTTCTGCAGCGATGATAGGCCACTTGAATTTGGGGTCCTGGAGAATGGAGACAACCTTCTCATCCAAGGATGTGGCCATCAGGGAGAAATCCTTTTCATCATAAATGTCCAATGGCGTGACAGAACCGTCGCTGAACTGGACCCAGCAGCTGATGGCTGCTTCCTGTGGAGCAAGAGAAGTGGGTTAACATGTGTCAAGAGGCTCAGAAAACAGGCACATGGGTGAAATTTTCTTGTCGCTTCAAGGAAAAGCCAGTTAGACAATGTAGAGAAAGCATGAGAAGCTCTAGCATAGAACATTCTGCAATGTGAATTCCTATAAAGAACAAAAGTGGGGCAGGGCAGATGGGACCAGATTAAGCCTTCCAAAATAAGATTGATGTTTGAGGCTGGGGACATAGCTCAGTTGGTGGAGTGCTTGCCTAGAAAGTGTGAAGCCTTGGGTTCCATCCTTAGCATCACAGTAACCTAGATACAGTGGAACACAACTCTAATCTCAACATTCAGGAAATGGAGGCAACAGAATAGGAGTTCAAGGTTATCTTTGACTATGTAATGAGTTCTGAGGTATCCTCATCTCAAAATAAACAAAAAATTGACTTATTTTTTGATCTGTTACAAGACAAACAGGTTTTGAGACTCCCTAGGATCTCTGTTTGCACAATTTTAAATAGCTTGTCAAACAGTGTGGCTGGTGAGTAGGCTCCTTCATGAGAGTCATAGGTGTATATAAATGTGGTATCATGCCATCTGACACCATCTTAGCATCCAGTCACATTACCACACATACCACAGATTGAGGACATTGATCCAGACTGGAAGAGAAACACCTCAGGGCCATCAATGGGCATGGTTTCATTGGCTCTATCTTCTCTGGGATACAAGTGGCTTGAGCTCACCAGGAGACAAAGCCAAGTCTTAAGGTAGGTGTGAAAATAGCTAGAAGGAGTAGGAGACTTTGTCTTTATTTCCCCAACACTTTATTTCAACCAATGGGAAGAAACTTGGGGACACAAAGGCAGCCTACAGCCAAGGTCCCTGAGTGTCTGCATCTCTTGCCTTCTGCACTTGGTGTTTAGACATCTTCTTTCATTTGTAGCATGGGCTGGTGGCTTCATTGATGTCTCCATTTTAAATAAAGCCTTTGATCTTGGCTATGCCTAGATCCTCCTGCTTTATTCTCCTCCAATTCTCTGGAATTTCTCTGGAAAGCCTACTCTACTCCAAGCCTGTCACTATCTCCTGGGACCTACAAGTTCAAGCCCAGCATGGGAATAGTCCCTACAGACCTATACATTACCTGCTGACCTCAGCTAGTTAGAAAGGAGACTGCCATGACAGCCCTTAAGTTGAGCATCACTAAGTGGGGTCATGTTCCCCTCTTCGCTAAGAAGAGAGACAGACTTAGATATTAGCACAAAAGATGAATGGTTTTAACTTAAGTAAAACTGGGTAGTAAGGCCCCCTTTTGGGGCTACCATGATAGCTCACAAACAAGCAAAGATATGAATGTGGTAATTATGCACAGTAAGATTTTTTTTAAATGACAACATCTCAGGGAAGGGAGAGTGGGTACCAGATGACCTGGGTCTCTCAGCCAGGATCTGAGAGTTTCCCAGTCCTCGACCCCATTCCCTACTATTGGTTGGGTTTCTTCCCTTACCCCCTATCCTAACAGCCCTCACTAGGGACTGGAGTAAATGTTCCATGGGTGGCATTTAGCCCAGAAGAAGCAAAGCAAGACTTTCAAAGGTAGTTGGTAGCTTCCATACCCTCCTTTTGTTAGATACTGGCTTAAACCAGCCACTACATGGGAAATTGGCCAGGATGCAGTGCGGAAAGCCACAGAACCCAGCACTGTTCTGCTGTGCCAGGAAATCTCAGCAGGGGATACATACGGACCACTGGTGTTTTGAAGTTGTTAGGTCAGCGCCAAGCTGCACAAGGGGACTGAGGGCCATGCAGCCTACCCCAGAGCTACCCTTAGGGGAGCAGGTGACACTCTGCATGTCAGGGATGGATTAGCTCTATTCTGTCGGTGTCTTATCACTTTTTAATTCTTAACTGGCTGCAGTCTGATTTTATCATCCACTGAGCTAGGAGGAAAGCTCATCTCTCGCCCTTCCTATCTGTACTTTGCAGGCTGCCCTCCATCATTCTAGACAAATGGAGGCTTGATTTTTGCCAAGAATTCATATCTGTCACTAGGAACATCAACTCTCCAATGTTTTCTAATCCCAACCCCCCCACATAAGACTGTGCTATCAGGGCTCAATGACTGGCTAGCAATTGAGAGGGTAACTTGAGGTGCAGGACCAGCTGGAAGATAGAAGGTTGGAGGTGGTGAATTGGGCTGTCTTCTCACTGTGAGCATGGTCAGTCTCTGCTGCTGCCTGGTGCTGTGAGGGAGGCTGAGTCTGGCAACTCTCCCTGCTGTGGTGGAAGAAGGGTTTCTGATGGCTAGGGCGGCTTCCAAAACAGTCTCTCTGTGGGTTGCATGAATTTGATCCCTTGCAGAGAGAACTGATTGCTGTCTTCTACTATAAAGTTCACCTCATTCTCCATGTTCCATCTAAGAAATAACATCTGTCCACTCCAAAGAGGAAGGTAAGAATATTAGAATATTATCTCTGCAGATCTCCTGTACACAAATCACTCTCTCTCTCTCTCTCTCTCACACACACACACACACACTGGAGTATATTCACACACAATGCCCACACAATACAAGCAATGCATACCATATACACGGAGCATACAGTACTCATGCAGACACATACACAACACAGGACACATAAACAAGATTTACACATACATACATCCAGCACACAATATGCTCATACAGGAATATAGGCATACACATAGGCACAGGTACAACACAAACATGTACATAACAGACAATATACAAGATACATGTATACCCACATGTAGCCACATACATGAGCACATATAAGACACACAGATGGTCACATCTGCGAACATATGTCCTATGTTGCTTGAACTTTTGCCAACCTGATACAAGTTAGAGTCATTTGGGAAGAGGGAACTTCAATTTAGAAAATGCCTCCATCAAATATACTTGTAGGCAAGTCTAAGGGGGCATTTCCTTGATTAATGATTGATGTGGGATAGACTAGCTCACTGTGGGTAGTGTCACCTCTGGGAAGGTGGTCCTCAATGGTGTAAGAGCAGGCTGAACAAGACATGAAAAGCAAGCCAGTAAGTAGAAAGCTTCCGTGGCCCCTGCTTTAGTTCCTGCCTTGAATTCCTGCTCTGACTTTCCTCAGTGATGGACTGTGAACTGTCAGTCAAATGAACTCTTCCCTCTGCAAGTTGCTTCGAGATACAATGTTTATCACAGCAAAGAGACCTAAGACACATCCATACACATAAGACAGATCATAATGCAGCCTATTTGGACACTGACTTCAAATAAAGAGAAAAGGACAATATGACCCACATCATTCCCTTCTTCTGCCTGAGCAATAAGGAGAAGTAGTATATTATCTAGATCAGCTTCCAAACCTGCTGAGACCTGGCTGCAGGCTGTGGTAATTCTACATCTGCCCATGCCTCCAACTCCCTCCTACTGCTGGGTGAGGCTAGCATGCCAGTCAGGCTATGTGAACCCGCCCAGGTCCCCACCCCAGCACACTTGAGTGTAGAGGCCAGGTGATTCTCCTTTCAGTGCTTCTACCCTGAGAGGCTTGCCCATCCATTTCAGGGAGCTAGGAGGCAAGAGGCTTTGCAATACCATGTTAGCAGCTCCTTTGCAGTCAAGAAACACAGGACATGTGATGTCTGTCTGAAGTAAGTGAGTCCAAACATATGTCCCTCTACCATGGGGTTCTGACAATGGGACACACGTGTGCCATGAAGTCTACTTAATGTGACCATCTGGCATATGCTGACCTCAGCTGGTGTATGCGGACCTCACCTCAGGTAAGACTCTGCTGCTGTGTGTCCCAAGATCCACCTCCTTACCTGTTTGGGCCTCTGCAGAAGTTCCTGAGCCACTGCAGTGGCAAAAATGGCTCTGTTGCTCCCGGGGCTGAGCTGCAGGGACAGTGAAAGGCCCGTTACCAGCTGGACCCCCAGGTCTGTGATGGTCACCTTCTCATCCAGCACAGTGATGGTCTTCTCTGCAAGGATGGCATCCGACAGAGGGGACAGGATCTGAAGGGCAGAACCAACATGACAAAGGGAGGCTCTCTGTGGTCACAGCACTTCATCCATCACATGCCATGAGTGAAGGCATGCAGGCACCATGAGATAAAAGGAGCCCACATGGGCCCACTGGTGCTGAAGCCTTGATCACAGAAATGCAATGATGCAATGTGCTTTTGCATAACAGCATGGAACAGATACGAGGGGCATGCAGAGAGATACCCATAAACCAACTCTGGTTGTTATTGGGACCCACTCTTCTCTTAGCAAGAAGAATTAATGTCATTGGGTTCTTCTGAGTGTTGTGACTCTTGTACATACCATGGGCCATTTTTGCTATTACCAGTGCATTCAACTTCTAAAAAGCCTTCACATCCCCCAGAGAACCATGGGTCAACACCCTAACTGTATAGTTATTTCTGTAGCATATGCGAAAGCCAGCACATAACTAGAAAGTAGGGGCTTCTTGGGGCTGGAGTGCTGGCTTCTCTGGAAGAGGACTTAGGTTTAGCTCCCAGCACCGATATGGTTTATTGCAACCATCTATAATTCCAGCCGATATGACACCCCCTAGTTGGCTCCTGTGGTCACCAGGCATGCATGCAGTGCACATCCATAAATGCAGGGAAAATACTCATACACATATAAATAAATAATAAACATATAAAAAGTGAGGCTCCCTGATTCAAATACCATCTAATCTGTCTCCTGTCCTGGGATCTTCAGTTCCATAGTTTGAGGCCGCGCGCGCGCACGTGCGCGCGCGCGTGCGTGTCTGTGTGTGTGTATCAGGATCTCACTGTCTAACCCTAGCTGGCCTAGAACTTGCTATATAGATCTCACAGAGATATGCCTCTAATTCCCTAGTGCTGGGGTTAAAGACTTGCCCCAGCACATCAGGCTTTGACTCCACACTTTGAGAAACTCTGAGCCATGAGATCCAGTGGCATCTTGAAATCTTGTCACATGATACCCACCCATACCCACCCTGAGTCCAGCCTGGTCTTGATTTCCTCTGCACACCTCTGGGGACCAAGGAACACCTTCCCAGCCCAGCCAAGCTTTTAAAGGATGAAGATGGCTTCCTCCACTTTCTGTGCAACTTCAGCCCCCTAGGTGAACTAGGTCTGCTCCCCTGTCCACCTGCTCTTTTGACCTTTGAGTTTCAGGGCTGCATTTCTTTTTCTTTAATGAATTTTATTTAAATTAGAAACAATCTTATTTTACATATCAATCCCAGTTCCCTCTCCCTCCCATCCTCCCATGCCCCCCACCCGATCCCCCATCCATGCCCCAGGAAGGTGAGGCCTTCCATGAGGGAATCATCAAAATCTGTCAAGTCATTTGGGGCAGGGCCTAGGCCCTCCCATGTGTATCTAGGCTAAGAGAATAACCCTCCATAGGAAGTGGGGCTCCCAAAGTCCATTCACACACTAGGGATACATCCTGGTTCCACTGCCAGAGATCCCATAGACTGCCCACTACTCCTAGCTGACAGCCACATTCACGGGGCCTGGTTTGGTCCTATGTTCGTTCCCCAGCTGTCAGACTGGGGTCCATGAGTTTCAGGGTAGAATTTCAACAAACCCACTTTCCCATGATCTCCAAGCTCAAGTTCCACCCATCCATCACCCATGGTTTTCCTGTCTGTACCATGTTTTTAAATGGTAGTGGGTATGAGATGAGAGTCCCCATGAGGAAGCAAATGGACAAGTTCATTGTGCTTTCACTTGGGAACTCAGTGGATCTGAGTGAAATGGTCTCAGGACTGGATGCCCTGCTGCGGCAGTCTCTGTGTTTCCTGCCTAGGAAGGGAGTCCCTTTCCTCCTTGCTAACATATAATTCCTTTCTGGACTTGAATTGCCTTTCAAAGCGAAGTTTAAAGTCAAACCCTTATCTAGGTCCAGGCTCCCAGGTGTTGACATTGCTTTTCAACCTTTTCCTAGTTGTCTGATACAAGCAACATTAAATTAATTTTTTTTACTTACTATTATTATTAGTTATATTATTATTATTGCATATATACAGGTCAGGGGACAACTCCAGAGTAGTGGTAACTCTATCACTAATTCTGTGTTAAATTTATTTTTAGTTTTTAACAATTTTTGAGATTATAATTACATCATTTCTCCCTTCCCTTTCTTCCTTCCAATCCCTTCCATGTTGCCTCCCCTGCTTTACTGAGATGGAAGGTTCAGGTGACCATGGTCAGTTTGGAGGAGCTAGCCAGGCCTGTGATCCAGGCAGGGTAAACTTCTCTCTAGGGTTTTGGTTCTCAAGTTGGTAAGACCTGCCATGGCTTCAGGGACATGACCAAAAAGAGGTGGAGCCCTGTGTCTCCCATGTATTGTGTTAGGGTTTGCTTCTCAAGATAACGCCTGCCATTGCTTATGAGACATGACCAAGAAGATATGGAACCCCATTTCTCCCATGTATTACTTGAGGGGTCTCAGGGTCCTTGTTGTATGTCACATTCAAACTGTGCATGTTCATTGTGATTTCACTCAAGCAAGCCTTGGGAGACTCTGTTCTGAGCAATGGCAGACAGCCGAGTGTCCCCTGCCAGAGCAGTTGGAACAGAAAGCCCTATCCAACTCTGCAGATGCCTCACCTGGATGGTGGTCATGCCCAGTTCCTGGCCAGTCAGGATCTGCCCTCCTTGCAGCTTGGCAATCCTGGGCTCCTCCACTTGCATGAAGTCAGTTATCAGCTCTGTGATGTCCACCTGCCAGTCAGAGCCCAGCAGGTAGGCCAGATGTCCCCCGGGATCAGGAGCCTCGGCCACAAACTGGGTCAAGACTCGAACCATGGCATGCTGGTACTGGAGGGTACAGCCTCGGCCTTTCTTTTCATCATCATCTTCCTCGTCACTGTCCCGAGCTGGTCTGTCAAAAGATAGTTATTTGCTGGGGCAACTGTCAGAGACTCCATGAGTCTACTTCCAAAGAGTCCAGCTTGTTTAAGGCTCAGGGAACATACAGGAAATTCAGGGTGTTTAATCACTGGTGTGATAAGAGCGCTGAATGGACAGAATGGAGTAGTTTGACAGGGGTTTAAGATCTTCCCAAAGACTCCCATTTCCTGGCATTTACTCTGTACCACCACCTTTCATTAAGCACAGACTTTTTTTATAGCTTTATTAAAAAACAATTGGATAGTCCCTCCCATTATTAATATTTTCAAAAGCAATTAGATAATTCCTCCCATCATTAACCTTTTTTTCTGAGACAGGGTTTCTCTGTGCAACAGCCCTAGTTGTCCTGGAACTCACTCTGTAGACCAGGCTGGCCTCAAACTCAGAGATCTGCCTGCCTCTGCCTCCCAAGTGCTGGGATTAAAGGTGTGCACCGCCACCACCTGGCTTCACTAACATTTTTAAAAATATTTATTTATTTATTTATATTTATTATGTATAGTGTTCTGCCCAGGCCAGAAGAGGGCACCAGGTCACATTACAGAAGGTTGTGAGCCACCATGTGGTTGCTGGGAACTGAACTCAGGACCTCTGGAAGAGCAGCGAGTGCTCTTAACCTCTGAGCCATCTCTCCAGCCCTTCACTAACATTTTTATTAGCCCATATTAATGATGTGTAATAATAGATTTCATTATGACATTTTCATATATGTACAGAATGTATTTTGATCATATTCATCCCCATCATTTCCCTCTCTCCTCCCCTCCCACTCTCATTGATCCCTTTCTTTTACTAATTTAGCCCTTCTACTTTTGTGTCCTTTGTTGTTTTGGGTGGTGACCCAAGGAGTTTCACTAGGATTGCTTACAGGGACAAGTGTGAGAGGCTATTTACAGGACTTTAGGCATATTACCCATGTCTGAACCACTGAAGACAATGTCTCTCCCTCTCCAGCAACTATTACCTGCCGGTAGATATCAAGAGTCAAAGGCTCTTTGAAGATTTACACTCAGTAAATGGTTGCTGGGCAGAAGAGTTCACAAGACATTTTGCTTATTTAATACAAGGTCCCACTATGTAGCCCAGGTGACAACTCTCCTGCCTCAGCTGCCCAAGTTCTGGAATTATAGATGTACACCATCATGCCTGGCTACATGATTGGGTTTAAAGATACTGACATCAGTGTAGCTTGTATTCTTGCATGGTTTCTGTCATTGGCTCTCTCTGAGGGAGCAAGATGCTGTGTTCTGAGCTGCCCTATGGAGACATCTGCCTGGCAGGTACCTGGTCTGCTGATCAGCAGCTAGTGAGGAGCTGAGCCCTATGGACAATGCCTGAGTGAGCCTTCTCTGCAGGAGCCTCCAGATGGGGCACCAGCCTCACAGGTAGACCAAAGGACTTCATTAAGCCACAGCTGTCTGCTCCTGCACAGAATCTGGGAGACTGTGTATATAGTTCTTCAAGCCATAATGAGTTTTAGATTAAGGTCCTGCATCATACAAGCTTTGATAAAATACTCCAGCTGAATGCAACTTGGGGAGGAAAGGGTTTATTTGGCTCACACTTCTGATTCAGAGCCCATTGATGAGGGAAGTTGGGACAGGAACTCAAACAACAACTTGAAGATAAGAACCATGGAGGATGCTGTTGCTGGGTTTACGATTGATTTATGCTTGTCTAGCTTTCTTTTACAGCCCATGACCACTTGTCCAGTAGATGGTGCTGCCCAGAGTGAACTGGGCCCTCCTGCATGAATTAATACTTAAAGCAATTCTCTATATACACTCATTCACATAGACCGATCCAACCTAGGCAATTTCTCAATAGAGCTTTCCAATCAGATGACTCTTGGATGTGCCAAGTTAACAATTTAGGTCAACCAGGATACCCAGTAACATGTAGTGAATATGACAGGGTTGTGATGACTGGCAAAATCCTCTAAGCCAGCACCCAGAAGAGGTGAGTGTTTACCTTGAGGTTAGTGAGATGCCATTATCAAGGCAGACAGACTGGTGGCTTCAAACAAACAGATGTTAGCTGTTCTCTTCCTGTCTGATACTTTGTATACACTGGTCCATCCCCACCATCATCTCAACCTCCAGTCACATATCAGCTGCCCACTTCTCAGAAGGCTTATAGCCCTATGTAAGTCTATCAGCTATGGCAGTACTGAGATGAGCATGTACAAGGCCTGGCCAGCTCTCTGCCTGTAGCAGCAGCAGCAGCGCAGCAGCAGCAGCAACAGCACAATATCCACTCCACCACCTATCTCAGCCCCTGGAAGCCCAGTTCTTAAAACAAGTTTGTCTAAGAACCATCTCCCCATGTCCATGGCACCAACTTCCTCCTCAAGCTATATATCCTCTTCCAGATGTCACATGACTAGAGGTGTGGACCTCAAAGGTGAAGACAATCAAGGTCCTCTCAGTGACAACCAATTCCTCACCCTCTGCTACGTCACAGCCCACAGAAGTCTTTCCTTGTGTGATGGCATATACTTACTTACTCATGTCTCTGGTGAATGGATGTGTATGCACAGAGGTTCCTGAAGTGATGGACAGAAAAGAGAGGCTGAACTTCTGTGACTCTGCCTCTCTGGTCCTCATCTGGATTTCTAATGAATGACAGGAGACTTACCTCTTTACCAAATTCCACCCAAGTTTGCAAAAGGTACAATGCCGCAGACAAGCTTCAGACTTCTTACCAGGGCCAAGGGCTCAGAGCTTCTGTCCTGGGGTGAGGAGCAATCTGCTGCTTGCTTCTTCCTAAAGTCAGCCAGTTATCTTCTTATCCCAAACCTCATCCTTCTGACTCCCTCCCTAAGCTCATCTTTCTCTAGCTGGAGGCTTGTGGCTAGAGTTCAGTTGCCCACGTGGCAGGTTCCATGCACGTGGTTCAAGTAAATCACCATGTGAACTCTTGCATCTACGCTTGCTCTTGCCTAAACAGGTAGTTAGCCACCTGTGTGTTTCCATCTTCAGCCTGAGCACAATGGACACAGCTTTCGGCTATGTATGCCCAATGCACAACACACACACACACACACACACACACACGCACGCGCGCACGCACGCACGCACGCGCGCACGCACGCACGCACGCGCGCACGCACGCACGCACGCGCGCACGCACGCACGCACGCGCGCACGCACGCACGCACGCGCGCACGCACGCACGCACGCGCGCACGCACGCACGCACGCGCGCACGCACGCACGCACGCGCGCACGCACGCACGCACGCGCGCACGCACGCACGCACGCGCGCACACACGCATGCACACACAAGCACACACACACACACACGCACGCACGCACGCACGCACGCACGCACGCACACACGCATGCACACACAAGCACACAGATACACACATGCTCATACACACCTACCTTTTGTTGGAGATAACAGGGACCCTCCAGCCCTTGATCTGGTTCAGCTCCATGTCTGAGACCTCAATCTGTAGGGGTAGCCGTGGTACCCACACTGTCATCTCCAGGGGGCTGCTCAGGTGCTGGTAGGTGAAGCTGACAGCCACGTTTACCTTGCCCTTCATTTCCTTCCCATTGACAAAGACATAGTCACATCTGTCAGAAACCTGGTTAGGAGGGAGAGAAGCAGGAAGAGGGAGGTGAGTTTCATCACAGTCCACATAGCAGGGGAACAGGCCAGTGCCATGTTTGGGACTCATCCCTGTGAAGCAAAGCCAGCACAGGCAGTTGTTTTGAATAAAACACCTGATGTCAGAGCAGATCCTGCTGGGGACTCTGCAGATGGGACTGCAGGTCTTTGCCATGCTGTTTTGGTGAGTAAAGTTGTACACATTTGTTTGTTTGTTTTTCTGTTGTTGTGTTTGCGGCATGCATTTATGATTATATGCATGTGTGTGCATGCATGTGCATTAGGAACATGGAGGTTGACGCTAGCAATCAGCCTTGATTCATCTTCCACCTTGCTCATCAAGACAGGGTCTCTTTTCAAAATTTTATTTAAATAACATTTTCATTTATTTCACTTACACACCAGTTTCCCCTCCCTCCTCTCCTCCAAGTGCCCCCCCTGCCGCTTATCTATCCTTCTCTCTTTCCCCTCCTTCTCTGTCTCCATTCAAAGGGAGCAGGCCTCCCATGGGCTTGAACGAAGCATGGCACAGCAAGTTGAGGCAGGCAGAGCTGCTCCCCTTGCATCAAGGCTGGGCAAGGTAATTCAGCATGGAGAGCAGGTTCCCAAAAGCCAGCTAAGTGCCAGGGACAGGTCCTGATCTCACTGCTAGGAGCCTTACAAAGAGACCAAGCTACACAACTGTCACACACAAGGGCAGGGTCTCTTATCAAATCCATAACTCACCTATATGGCTATTCTCGTTAGGAAGCTTACTTTGGGTATCCCTTGTGTTTGCCCTCCTAGCCTGGAATGACAGACATGCAACCATGCCTATCTGGTATTTATGTGGGTTCTGGAGATCCAAACTCAGGGCCTCAGATCCCCCAGGGCAAGTGCTTTATAACCCCTGAGCCATCTCTCTTGATTGATGGAGATTGGCCTAGATGATTTGGGTCGGTCCTGGATGTGTTCTAGATGTCCTTTTGAGAGGGACACTGATAATTTAGGGGAAGGAAGCAGACACTGTGGCTATGGGGTCAGGAGGCTGTGCTGCCAGCATGGAGGCTGGGGAGGGTTAGGAATGGAAAAGTCAGATTGGAACCTGAAGAATCCCAGACTGATTCCTGATTCCAGATTCCAGACACTTGGCCTTCAGAACCACAAAGAAATAAACACAGCTGGTGTGTGGTTCATTGGTTCCAGTAGAGAGTGGACTCAAGTGGAATAGGAGGATGGACTTTGGGCCAAGAATGAGTCCCCTCACCTGTGCTTCGCTGGTCAGCATAGGAAGAGGAAGGTAGGTGTGAGGAACCTCTATTCACTGACCACTGGATATGATACAGGTCAGGGATGCCTGCTGGACTCACCCAAAGTATCATTTCAGCATCAGGACCACACAGGAGGCAGGCACCATTATCAGCAGCATCTCACACATGACAGACCCAAAGCTAAGGAACACTGATGACACTTGACACCCCAGGGCCATGCCGAAGAGTCATGGACAGGGATCACTGTCTCTCAGTCTGCCCTACCCCCTCATAGGTGCTATTTCCACCCCAAGGCTCTTACTTTCCATCTTGAAGAATGGAAAACCTACTTTTAACACTTAAAGGGGTGTGAAAGAAAGCAGACAAAAATGAGTAGGTTGTGCAAAGATCACAAAGGCCTTTCTAGTGAAAGGGCTTTTGTCTGCTTTAGAGGCAGCCCGGATGCTGGATGCAGAGGACAGGTTATTGTGAAGCTCAGCCTGGATGGGGAGGTCGATCGATAAGAGAGAAGAGAAATGGGCACCAGGCTCCACTGAGAGGAACTTTGTCATCCTCAATGTCTGCCAATAGCAAAAGTACTTAAATCTGATTGCATTGTCCAGTGGGACTAGCTATGGCTATTTTATTATAATTTGTGGTCTGGCCAGAGCTCTCCTTGCTTCAGAGCCCAGGAAGTCTTTAATTTAAGGCCCTTTCTCTTTCAGGATTTCCACTTATACTCAGGTTGAGCATTCTCAGAGGATCAGACTCTGAGAAAGAGGGACGGATGGAGGGATGGAGGGAGGGAGAGAGAGAGAGAGAAATTGGGATATGGGGCAAGAAGAGAGGGAGGGAGGGAAGAAAGAAAGAAAGGGGGAAGAGAAAAGGTTGGAGGGAGGGGGAGACAAAAAGGATAAAGATGAAGATGGAGGAAGGAGAAAAGGGGGGAAGAAAGGAGGGGAGAAGGGTGGAGGGAGGAAGAAAAAGGAAAGGATACTATGACAAAGTGCTGATAAGAGTCATTTTTAGAGCAACTGAATCCTTCATGACCTTAACTCTCAGAGCCTTCCTGCCAAGCAGATGACCCATTTAAAGGAGCTTGGAGCTCATCCCAGGCAAGAAAACCACACAGCCTGCCTTTGCACTGAACCGGGTGTGGGCAGGGGTGCACTAAACATGGCCTTGAGTACAAAACTGCCTTCATCACGGTGGTTCTTTGACTCAGTGTTTATTCTTTGCTGTGACAAAACACAGTGACAAGTGTTGGTGCAGAAGAGAAGGTCTCAGAGAGTTGCTCACTCAAGGACCTGGGTCCATGATGCAGTGTTGTACCAACAAGGTCAGGCAACTTTGGAGCAGGACTAATGTCCTGGGTTCATGGGGCAAGAGCTGGGCACAGGATACCTGTGTCCATAGATCGGGGCTGAACTCACATGTGAGTGTGGGAGGCATTATTTAAGCTAAGGGTAAAGACAAGCCACTATGAGAGGGGTTGGATGCTTGAGAGTCTGCCTTTGTGGCTCTCTGAAGATACCTATGAGGTACAATCCACATCCTGGACTCTGAGATAGTCAAAAAAGCTACTCAGCTACTGAGTAGTTGATCTCTGATTTTCAGGATGCCAGGGCTTGCCTTCTGCCTTCCCTGCTGTTGAGTAAGAATGTGTTGATGATGGGGGATGTCCAAACTTTCATCTTCATGACCATCACAGGCTATGAGCGGTGAACACTAGTGACAGGTATCTCTTTCTTGCTGGGACTATTACTCTCCGAGTGACCAAGTTTACCTGATGTTCTATAGCTGCTACTTGGCTGTTGGTGAGACAGTGGCTGATACCAGGCTAAGATCTCAGAGTTGGGGCCACATGTTGCTGCTGTCACAAGTGGGGGTGAGAGATACAGGTGACAAGAGCCCTTCCTTAGTGTGAGTCACCATAGCCATCACCCTGATGGTTTGCCACACAAAGGGACCTTGTTCTAAGGGCTGTATTCATAAGTCAGAACGTGCCAAATCAATGGCATTAGTAGGCTAAGCCTGGCTGAGCAAGACAGATGAAGACAGACAAGCTCACACAGCTCCAATTATTAAAAACTCAGAATGAGCCAAGAATGTAAGTGGGGTCCCCACAGAGCAGGGGCCTCTGTCTTAAATGACCTCACTCACATCACTTCCAACCTCTAGGTTGCTGGAAGGATTCTCCTAATACAAAGGGCAGTCAATGAGAGGAAGTGGAGGCAAACACAGGAAATGCCAGTCACAGGGGAGAGATGTAGCAGGGCAGCTTCCCACCAAGGGGATGGCAGGGGGGTGCAGTGCTTGGGCAGAACACACAGACAGTGGTCTAGCCTCAAGGGGAGACTTTGGTGGTTGGTTCCTGGACAGAGTTCTCCCAAGCCTGTGTGCTTGGGAGATCTTGAATACATCCTAGACACATAAGTGGCTACGAATCCTGCTTTTTATCCACTTAGAAAATGTTAATGTGTGTGTGTACACATGTATATGCACATGTGGGAAGAGGCCAGGGGCCAATTTTAGTTGCCGTTCTCAGGGATGTAGTTCTCTTGCTTTGAGACCTTTCATTAATACAGTGAAGGAAAGAAATGTATCCCCATCTTGCCTGGTGCCCAACATTTGTTTCTATGACAGAAACAGCTGGAATCTTATTCACCAGGACTTCAGAGTCAAGCTTTAACAGCTAGCATCTGCAGAAACCTCTGAGAAATGTGACTTCACAGAGAACATGTGAATTGTATCTGAAGTCACCAAGCTCATGGTCATTACTCATGACTCAAACCTCCATCTATCTGGTTTTACCTCCTGCCTGCTGTCTCCTGGTTCTTACCCTTAGAGTCTCCCAAGCCCTCCCTCAGGAAGGCACATAAACACAACTGTCCCTCACCATCTCTGCCCCAAGTAGTCTCCCCTGTGCTCTCTAAGCTCTGAAAGACCTGCTGTACCTGGGCTGGCCTTCAGCTGACAAAACATGAGTCTCATTTCCTAGGTACACAGGACTCCCCACCCAGGGGTGGGAGATACACCCTGGGCCTGTTCTTAGGGAATCCACTGGAGTAGGTCCCCTCCTTCTTTGCATCCATAGCACCAGGTGCTCCCTTTCTGGGAGCTGAACCAAAGAGATTCAACCATCTAGGTGAACTGTCCAACTTCATCACTTCTCCTTCAGTATGACTAACGGTACATGTCAAATAATTTATTAACCAGCACTTTACAATGTTGGCAGCTTCAAGGAATGATCAAGTAACACTCGAGAGTCCCCTCCATAATCCATTTCCAGCCAATCTCCTCTGCTCCGTGATGGAGACAAAGCTAATATTTCTGACTCTGGTGTGCATAATCCTGGCACTCATGTGAATTTAATGCTAGCTCTAGCTCTTCTGGTTAAATGCTGGCTGGATTTAAATCTTATCTAAATATCACATCTGTGGCAAAATTTATGTTCTCTGGATATTTTTCTCTTTCCCCTTTCATTTTTTTCAAATGCTACATTGAAGGATAATGAACTCTTATCATTCCCCCTTCAAACTGAGCCAACAGTGACATTCCACGGGAGGCTGGCATCTGAGTCTCAGGCTGGTGGTACCCTCCTGCGGTTGGTCTTTATCTTGGATGAAAAAAAAAACCTGTTAGTGATGATGGTAGAGGTAAATACAGCAGTTAACATTTAAAGTTTGTTAATGCAATACGCTGTGTGTAGCACTAAAGTCTTACTCCATCTGTTCTTCATGGTAAA